CCACGCAACCATCTTCTGTAACAGCAACCCTGCATACCCTTGTCAGCCAGTCCAGCACCAGCGTCAATGCAGTCAGATAATTTCACCACCAGATGTCAGTGCTGTTTATGTACTCTAGACCTCAGAAGATGCTGTTGAATATTTTTCTATATTAGTATTTATGTGGTTTCATCTGAAAGTATTGTATATAATTTTTATTCTCCTTCTTCTTCTTCTTCTGCATCTTTGCATTTTCCTCTCCTCCCTTTCTGTTCTTCGCTGTTTCTTCTTTCTTTCTCATTTCTTCCATGCTCCTCCTGCTCCAAGATGCATCTTCATTTAAATGAGGGAATTTAGAAATATATCAACAGAGAAATTTCATACAGAGATGGAGACTTTGTAATGTGCATAATACCATCACCCAGATGTGATAAATTCTCATTGATATTTGGTTAAAATGCTAAAATGAAAAGAATAAAGATCTTTTCATGATGTTTATTTTGCAGGCCATTATATGTAGAATAAAATAAAATATACCTTATAATAAGAGATCAAAATAATGAAAATCCTCAATCAATAAATCATTGAGGTAAATGCATTTTATAAACACATAAGTTTTGTTATATATCTGTGTTCAAATTGAAAATTATAAATGTTAACCCCATGCTGCCATGAAAATGTAAGGTTCACTTGAGTTTTCTTTTGTGAGATGTCTCTACATGTAGATATTTCTGCAAGTACTTAGCCACCAAGAATTCATCTAGCAATCCTCATGAACTTGCCTGATTTCCCCTTTCCCTGAGGTTTTAGGAAAAAGTTTTTTTCACAAGTGCTATAAATATTGATGTTGTTATAATTTTTTTATAGACATTATAATTATTATAATGTTATTAACTTTACTAAAGAGAATATTTCCAAAACTCAAGGAAAAAGATAAACAGGTGTAGTGCTAATAACTGATTCCTGTGTGACTAAGTACTTGTGAAGCCATCTATGTGACTTTAGAGCTATCTGTGTGTAAGGACAGTTAATGAACTAAACTCATAGTGGGCATGGCATGTCTGTACATGATATCCCCAGTAGGTTCAGGTTGATCATGCCATGAGTACCATGTAAACAAAAAGTTGTGTGCTCACATAGTCCTATATGCCTTAACTCAAGCTTCATTCTGATCAGATGTAATTGAAATGCTTTAAGCTTTTGGTTCTCACTAATTATGTAAGAGCAAACAATAAATTTGGTAAACAGCATTAGCAATTGAGATTGTTTTAGGGTCTCTTTCTCTCTTAACCCCTAAAAGGACACAGGAATTCAGAGCTTCCTATCTGGACAGGATGGAAAACAACCGAAATTCAGAGTCTGTAAGCAAAAATGAACAGATAAAAGGTTTATTGCCTGTATACCACATGGTCTTTGATATGAAAGTGCCATGCAGTCTGCTCCCACAGGATGGAACAATTAGGAAGATTGCAATAAACATGGAAAACTCAGCAGTGGAACAACTTTTGCATCTTTTGGTGTTTATGACAGCCATTCTTAATTAAATGGTTGCTCTGTGTTGTCCTTCAAGGTTAAAAATCAGAGAGTGAAAATATTTCTTTTTATGTATGTGTGTTCATTGTCTTGGGAGATTGATTATGATTAATATTGGCAAAATAGATCTGTATACTTTACAAGGTACAATAAAATTATTATATAAATATTGTTTTTATTCTTATTTTTTCACCAGAATATTTCTTGATCTCTTACTTTACAGATTAAAGGTAAACCAGAAATATTTTGTTTATATTTTCTGATATCTGAGAAATCAGGTCCTTAATAGCTACAATAACTCTCGTTGAAACCAGAAATTGTTTTATGTAACCTTGTTTTCTTGTCACGAAAGTTGAAGGCTGAACAGCAGTGTATGGATTTTATTTGAAAAAAAAAGGATAAAGAAAGCCTTCAGAAATTATATGGACTTATAAAAAGTGTTTTTATCTAAATCCTTCAGAATGTATAATTTATGTAAAAACTGCACATCTGCAATTAAAAATTTGTGCAATTTTATGTCACCGTATTGATTGCTATCAAAGGTTCTGCAGATGAGAGTATATAGGTGTTATTATTTGTTATGTCCCATGTTCTGTGTACAATATGAATAATGGTATTTAGTATGTAAACCTTAATCTATAACCATTACTTTTTTCTATCCCAAGCTGTTCAGTGTAGTGAAGAAAAGGAGGGTGTGGGTGTAGAGATATTGCAATGATGAAAGAAGCATGTGAGTGAGATGTGACATGTGAGTGAGATGGAGTAATACTTGAAAAAATTATGTGTTATTATGAATGACGTAATTCTGTGCAATAGTGAAGTGAATGAGAACATAAGATTCCAGATGCAAGAAAACTAAATATTTCATAATTATGAGTGACATAACCATGATGGTGTAATATTCAAATATTTTTTTTTATAAAATGTCACTAAACAAGAATGAATAATTCCAGATTCAAGATATATAATAACTATTTTGAAGATAATTCTAATGATGTAACACCAGCATGTTCAACAATAAGTCTAAAATTATCTTTATTTCTATATCTGCTTAGAAGAAGAAACAGGAGACTTATTTGCAGATGCCAATTAAAAAGAGTAACTAGCATATGTGTGATTAAATGATGTGAAAAGACATTTCAATTGTTGATATGTAGTGGCTTTCTGTTAGATGAATATTTCATTAGCTAAATTTGTCAAGGAGCAGGAGCTACTTCTTGGGGATACAAGCAAATTTCTGCTGCATTATAATTTTGAATATCCTTATAATACATGTCATGGTATACCTTATCGTTGTTGTAAAAAATATATATAAGGTGAATAAGTCTAACTATCATAATGAAAAAAACAGAATTCATATAACATTAAAGAACAGTTTAATGTGTTTTGTAATATTTGTAATAATAAAGTACAGTAAAATGCTCTTAGTCAGTAGAGTTGTAGACTTGTTTTATGCTTTGTAGAAATATATACATTTGGAAAGATTTAACTTTAATTTTTTTATCTATAATAAAGATATATTTGCTTTAAAATGGAATCATAATGTCATCAAACTTTAAGGGAAGGAAAAGATAGCGAGAAAAAAGAAAGAAAATAGTGTCTGCATTGATATACAAGTGATTTTTTTAGCAGATTTATATAAGTTAGCTAGTGATGGTGTTTGTCGCTGAGATAAAATATGGGCTAAATCTATTTCTTGTTCAGAGCTCATGGCACGAAGTTTATAATAACTTATTCTTTCTGATGGTATGATGAATAATTTTTCAACATTTATGAGAAACTAGTGCTTTCTGGCAACACTTGGCTAATTCTGTGAACCAGGTAAATGACCAGTGGAAGCATTAAAGTGCTTGGATGCAGTATATTAATTATTATTAATTAGTTATATTTGATCTCCAAAATATTTACTTTTACAAATGAAAAAAAGTGAAAATAAAGATAAAAAGTAAAATATCATGTTGTACTTTCCATTTCTTATTACCTATGTATCACATAGAAACATTACTGTACTTTTTATCATTTACTGAACCGTTATTTGTCCAGACGAAATGACTGCAGAATAAATTATAAACTAATCAAAACACAAGGCAGTCTGTCTCTATGTGATGTCCATTTGCCTCCACTCCCAAGTTCAGTGCAGCATTGCTATGGTGTGAACAAGCAATGTCATCTCTTGCATCCAAAGTCAGCCAGTGAGTGGGGCTTCTGTGTCAACTCTTATTGGCAAACTTGGAAATGGAAGGGATTATACCTATTTTGCTAAAAAATTATTTGGCACATTATATTAGGGAAAATACCCAAAGCTTGTTCCTGTCAAGCCTGTTATCTTTGATCTGTGTTCATTGCAATAGTTATAGAAAAGATATGAATGGGAATGAATATCTTCACAGTGCAGATGTATTTAACAGGCTTTATTATCCCTTGCTCCGTGAGGACAGTCTCTCTCATTGTTATATTTTACTGGAACATATGTACTCAAATGCCTAAAGTGGGGCTTCTGTGTTCAAGAAATCAAACATGTCTTTATTTAAAAAAAGGATATTTATTTAGGGATGATTTAGAACCATTTTGGAAAAACCCACAATCCCATAAAAATAAGTACAAGTAAGATCAATTTTCCAATGTTACTGAATCTGTCCAGCAATTCAATAAGGAATACAAAACACGAATACCAAAGAATATTCGATACAGAATACGAGAGCGTACAAATGTCAAATGCTTCCTGACAATAAAGGATAATCCCTATTGTGTAGTCAAAAATCTCACCGACTTCCTGATGATAAGAAAAACTAAATGAAGATATTTCTGGAATTACAAAAAAAGAGGTGTCTTGGTCACAATAAATATATATTATGTCTTGTGATATTCACAAATATACTGAATAATGATCTTACTGTATTGAGACAAATTATAGAGACAAACACATTCTTCTCTTGTTACAAACACTACAATTCTTTTTATATATATGCTTTTGCAAGAAATGAGAAAATAGAGGAAAAAGTCAGGGGAGAGGGAGAGGGAGGAAGGGAAGGAGGGAGAGGGAGGAGAGGGGGATGGAGGGAAGGGGAGGGTGCTTTTTCCTTCCCTTCTTCTTTTTGTTTTTTCTTTCTCTTTCTCCATTTCTCCCTTTCTCTTTCTCTGCTTTTCTCTCTTCTCTCTTCTCTCTCTCTCTCTCTCTCTCTCTCTCTCTCTTCTCTCTCTCTCTTCTCTCTCTCTCTCTCTCTCTCTCTCTCTCTCTCTCTCTCTCTCTCTCTCTCTCTCTCTCTCTCTCTCTCTCTCTCTCTCTCTCTCTCTTCTCTCTCTCTCTCTCTCTCTCCTCTCTCCTCTCTCTCTCTCTCTCTCTCTCTCTCTCTCTCTCTCTCTATCTCTCTCTCTCTCTCTCTCTCCTCATGCGCTCTCTCCATCTCGCTCTTTTTTTTCCCCCCCGGAAAAGATGGGACAGAGAGAAACTGAAGCAGAATATACAATAGACACATTTAAAATATCTG